TTCCCCGTTCCAATCTCTTTCTCCCCCTTCCTTGCCCCCTCCCCACCCGCGCCATTGCTCTCCACACACCGAACATCACCACCATTTGTAATCCTCGTAGCTGCACGTTTCTTCTCTTTTTTCTTCCCTTTCCTTTCTCCCGAATAATCTTTTTCAATTTCTCCGGAATAATATCCTAAACTTGTTTGTCCCTTTCGTCTCTGTCTCGACGAAATAACGAGGAAACCTGTCCATGTCGATCTATCTCTCTAGTTGTTTGTCTTTGAAAAATACCTAACGTAAGGTAAATACGCAAGTTTAATACAAAGTTCGAAATGAAATTCAGCGATCAGCGATCAGCGAACGGTCGAGATTTCTGTGAATCGGGCAACTCGGAAAAATCCAACGATCGTCGTTGCAGATCTGGATGTTGGGATCGGCGTCATTCGCAGAGTTAAACCGTCCACCGGCAGATGGCGTTGCGAGCTCGTCTCGCGAATACGAGTTTCGAAATCGAGTAGCAGTGTGTCTTCGTTGCCAGAAATAACGAACTCTCCGACACCGCGACGCTCGAATTTCATTAGATTAGATTACGGCAAAGTCGAGAGATTACGGAGGGTCGAGTCGGTACGAGGTAACGTATCGGCGGTCGTTGGATAATCGCAAGATGGGTGACTTACCACTGGCTGATGACCACTCGTCGGCAGACGAGATCCAAATTATCGAGAATGCACGTGTGTAACCGTGCAACGTGCAACGACGAATTCTTCCCCCTCGCAAAGACACAATCTCTTTCACCGAGAGATCACTGTCGATTCGAGACGAAAACGAAGGAAACGGCTCGTTTCGAGGAATGCGTTTGTCCCGCGATTCCCTCTCGACACGCGCACGTCGCGACACTTGTCAGGCAACGCGTTTACACATCACCACGCGTTCCCGTTACGTCGGCATTATATCGACAATTACACGCGTACGATAGTTTTTTAGCGAGACACACAACGCGTCAATCAAAATACAGATCGGCACGCACGCAGCAGCAGAGACACACAGACAGACACACACACACACACACACACACAAACACAAGCTCGCGCGCGCAAACTACACGACTCGTGGCGTAACTAGTGACAGCGTGGCAAAACGACGCGCGCTCCTCGCGGCGGCCAGCGCGGGAATGATTGAAGGGAGGTTCATTTCGTGCCACTCTCCCATAGTGGGGATAGATCTCTCCACAGGGGAGTAGAACTCGCGCGCCTCCTACCCATGCATCGCGAAAGGATACAATGCAACACGACGCGACGCGACGCGATACGACACGACACGACACGACACGACACGACACGACACGACACGACACGACA